TGCCGAGATGCGTGAAATCTTAGCAGCCTACAATACAGCCCATTTATTACCTCATGGTTCTGTAGGTCACAGATCTGTGCAGACTCAACTGGGTTCTTAGCTTCAGTTCTCACAAGGCTAGTATTAAGCTATTGGCCAGGCTGGATCCTTAATCAAGAGTCTCTGAAGAAGAACCCTCCTCTGAGCTCATCCAGGTTGTTGGCTGAGACACCATCCCTTGCAGTTGTAGAACTGAGGACTCCATTTCCTTGTTGGCTAGAAGTCGCCAACATTCCTTCTCACATGGTTGCTTCCATTTTCAAATCATCAGTGACTCATCAGGTACTTCTCGTGTTTTAATTCCCTATAACTTCTTCTTCTATAATCAGCTGGAGAATACTTTGCTAAGAAAGTGCTCATGGGATTAAGTTATTCTCCTTCCCATCCTTACCAGTGCTCCCAATTCCCCTTTTGACATAGTCAAAAATCAACTGAAAAATCACTTTGCCATTCACAGAATGATAGCTTATAATATTCACAGATTCCACCTACGGTCAAAAGATAGGGGATGATACAAGAGCAGGCATCATTAGCATCACTAAGAATCGTGTCTACCATAGTATCTAATTAAAATGGAATCAAGTAAACTTAAATAGATTAAGTTTGTTTCATATTCACTAATTCTTTCAGTAAGCATGTACTGAGCACCTACTTTGTACCAAATTATATGCTAGATTTGAAAGTGTTAATCAAATCTTGGCATTTTATCTTTGTGAAATGAAGTTTGAAGGGCAGGATTATTTGGAAATATAGGTTTGTGTTCACATTTATTTTTCCACTTTCCATTTTGCTCTTTTTGGAACTGTAGCATATATGATCCTATACTGACATTGTCAAGTAATTTCAGAGCTAGAATTACTAATAGAAACTAAACAAATGAAAAGAATGATACCATCTAGAAGATATTGCCTATTTGTCTAATAGACTATTGATTAAAACCATGAGTAGGGTTGATTAGCTGGGGTGAGGAAACCATGAGCTGGGGTGAGGAAAAAAATAATTATTGATATTGCCTGTGTGCCAGCAGCTGGGTGAATGAATCTTACAAATATTATTTCACTTAAACTAACCAGCATTATTATTCCTGTGTCAGAAATGGGAAACTGAGGTAAAGGTTCACAAATGTCTAACAGTGCAAATACTTAAGTGTATGGTCTCTGTTTTCTTCTGAGTCTCCTCCTAACAGATGTATATCTTCCATCTATTAAACTTTGTTTATTGTATAACATTTTATTTTATAGCAATTATGTTTCTCTTCATTAAATTATATTTATCTATGTACACACTCCTTATATTTTAGTTCCTGGAAACCAGAGCAAGATCTTATTTATCCTTGTTTTTCCCTAGCTGTTTTTACAGTACAGGCTCAGTAAACACTGGTCAAATTTTAGCAGTACAAAGTACTGTTCTGGAATCATTATTGCTTAGCATGAGGCCAGCCTGCTGTTATTCCATCCCACTTAGCCAATTATATGTGAGCATTGATGAGAGAGTAGATCCCATTTGTTTGATGCATTATTGAAAACAGCAGTAAAAACTAATACTTGACAAATCAAGTTGCATTGGGGTTTGGCTAAAAACAATTTTGTTGAGGAGGGGGAAGAAATGACTCTATGATGCCTAAAAGAATTTTCTAGGGATTTTTTCCTCACTGGTTTTATACTTGCATTTTTCTTTTTTTTGAGACAGAGTTTAGCCCAGGCTGGAGTGCAGTGGTGTGATCTCAGCTCACCACAACCTCCACCTCCTGGGTTCAAGTGATTCCCCTGCCTTAGCCTCCCTAGTAGCTGGAATTACAGGCGTGTGCCACCACACCTGTCAAATTTTGTATTTTTGGTAGAGACGGGGTTTCTCCATGTTGGTCAGGCTGGCCTTGAACTCCTGACCTCAGGTGATCTGCCCACCTTGGCCTCCCACAATGCTGGGATTACAGGCGTGAACCACCGCACCCAGCCTATACTTGCACATTTTAAGGGAAATTTAATTAATATGACTCTGGTTTGTTTACACCTAACACACCAAAGCAACGATGTGTGAAAGCTGTTTGGTGTCCTGAAACTCTTTCTAAAGCACTTCCTTTTGAACTGGAAATTATGTCTGAAAATTTGGGCAGTATTAATATCTGTGAGTTGGCAGCAAGGAACTGCAGGAAATGTACTCACTGAGAGACCTGAGTTCTGACCCCAGCTCTGTTGTCAGTTGTTTTCCTTTAATAATTCAAATGTTTAGGTCTTAGTTTCCTCATCCATTTCTTAAAATGAAAGAATTGGAATATATAAACTTGAAATTAATATCTAGTTTTGAAATTATCAAATTAAAAGCTTTCAGTACAAGTATAAATACTGGCCAGGCATAGTCACACCTGTAATCCCAGAACTCTGAGAGACTGAGGCAGGAGAACTGCTTCAGGCCAGGAGTTCTGCTTTGGCCTGGGCAGCATAGTAAGACAATGTTCTTATAAAAAATTGAAAAATTAGTAGGATGTGATGGTGCACATATGTAATCCTAGCTAGTTGGTAGGCTGAGGTGGGAAGATTGTTTGGGCCCCTTAGTTTTAGGTTAGGGGGATTATGATAGTGCCACTGCCCTCCAGCCTGGGCGACAAAATGAGACTTAATCACTAAAAAAAAGATACAAATACTGAGCACCTGCCATACAGCATACTCTGTTTGATAAACTGTGTATATCATTTTCCAGTTGGCCTTTAATCATTAAATATGCATTTCAAACCTGTGAGGTCGAATAAGTAGTATTTAATTATATTTATAGGTAATAAAACTGAGGTTCAAATAGAGTTTGTAATGACTCACATCCAATTGAAGCAACAGATTCATGTATAAAACTTTGGCACATAGTAGGTATCTAGCAAATAATAGTTGATTTGTAGTTGGATCATAGATCGATGGATGGATTGATGGATATTTTAAGGTTCAGTCAATCATTCTTGCCATTTATAGTCTCAGGAATTCCTGAGGATAAATTTTGTCTTACAAAAGTAATGGCTTTGAAATATTCCATTGTTTCAAACTTTGTTTAGCATACAAACCAAATATTCATTTGCTTTCAAAAGGTGCTGATAATATAAACTTACCTCCTCAAGCATCACTGACTAGAAGAGGAAAAGGATTTTTACTGTGGCTGAAAATGCTTTCTTTAAAACATATGCAGTATTTATAGGGCTGCTTGGAATAAGCCAACTGAAAGATTTAATGATAATAATCTCCATATTTCTTCTAAAATTGATTTCCAGATTCAATGAACTTGGAAAGAGTCCTGGGACATCAAATAAGTAAAGATCTTAACATGAAATGAATCTTCAGAATATGTTCATAAATTTACATTTTAAACATAACCAGAAAATATATATCTTTGCCTATTATTAAGGTGATACTTTAATGAAAATTTTTCATTTGCATGAAATAAACCTTTTTGGCTACAGATGAAAGGACTTTATGGTAGCGACAATAGTTTTGTGAGTTAAATGATCCCAACATCATCAGGAACAAATCACAAGTGCCTACCATATGAATTACAGCACCATGAGTTTTAAAAAGGTAATTCTGTGGAAAGCATTCTTCCCATCTGCAACAATCAGATTCTGCTTTGAAGTCCTGCTGGAGAGCCTCACAATACATGAGACTGCCACATGCTACCCAAATTTCTCTCTCTATTTGAGCCTGACTGCATTTTCCTAAAGAATAACATGGTAACTTAATGACCAAGGGGTTTAGAGAGGGAGGAAAATGGCCACAGTTTTTGTAATTAGACTTTCCTGGATGTGCATTCTTCAGTAATCCTTTCTTGATATAACTACAGAAGATAGATCCAATGGATGTGCAAGATTCAATTTCAAATGAAAATGGGCCAACAATGTGTGGTCCCTTTGATTCCTTAGACTATATTGAATGTGTGGCAAAGTATTCACAAATATTTCAGGCCCAAATGTAATTGATATGTTAATGAATGAGTAAATTGATAGTTTGAGACTTTTTAGCCATAGGAGAATTACAAAAATAATACAAATCATCATGACATAGGTGTCAGTATTTTAAAAGCTTTCACTCCTGCTTATCTCAATTCCCGTGCCTCTACTGAATGGCAAAGTGAGGATGGAGGTTGCCAGAATCATTTTTGTTGTTTCTTTTTTTGATTGGAGGCTTTCTTCAATAGAAAGAAAATAATAGTTGGGGAGAAGACTTCTCATGAATGGGAGACTGGTTATCAACAGAGTCAACAGATGTTTAAATAGAAGTAAAATGATGTATGCAATAGATCACAATGTGTCACCATTTCTTTATTAACCAGATGAATCATGACCAAGGTAACTTTTTCTGCGAATTGGCTGCTGATTCCAGAGTCTGATCTGTTTTACTACAGGGAGGCAGGATAGCAATGGTAACTACATTGCAGGTTGGAGAGAATTCTCTGTTCAACGTACAACAGAATTGACTCAGTTTTGGCCTCTGTAGAGACTTCCAATCCATTTGCAATTTTGTGATAGAAACAGACTTTGTGGGAGAATCTCTCATTTCTCTGAGCCTCTATCAAAACATTAGGTTATTCACAATAGGCATTGCTAAGTAAACATGGGTTCTAAAAGAAAAAAGCTTATATACTTCTGACTGTAATTGTTCTCATTTTGCCTTTATATGCTTTACTACTTGGGTTCTATCCCATGCTCTGGTGAAACAGAGAAGTTAGCAATAAAAAGAGCAGGACTTCTTCCAACCCTAATAATACGTAATAACACTAGAAGAAGATAAATAGTAACATATATTGGTCACTTTGATTATACACTGGGCTATTATTTGCCATCTTGTATATGAAACTAAAAACCTAAAAACACACTTAAATATCTAAAATCAAAGTTGCTTGGTGCATGGATACATTTTAAATGAAATTGTAAAGAACGTGAAAAATTTACCCACTATATGGATATTTTAAATGTAGTTTAAAAAAACCCAGAATGATTCTGTTTTATTTAGAAAACACATACAACAAAAAGCATGAAACACAGAAAGGTAGAATTGGCTATTTCTGGTTGATAGAACTGTGTATTTATTGTTATAATTATGATTTTTTATATTAAAGATAGTACAGTTATATAATATTTCACAACATAGAGCTTTTTTATATATATTATTATACTATTTTAATTTTTCTGTCATTTTCCAAATTTTTTACAATGAGAATGCAATAATTTTTAATACAGTTTTTAAAATGAAAATTAAAGCTAGTTAAGGTTGTTTCCTTTCACTACCACTATTCTCTGTGAACTATTTGGAAATGTTAGAAGCATTTGAGATATGTCACTTTGAAGGATGAATCCTTTTGTATCATATGCCTTGGTTATTAAATATGTATATACGGTTTAACCTTTGAGCCTACATAGAGCAACTTTTCATTTCAAACAACTTCTAAACTAGAGAAAATACTGACACAATATGATTTCTTACCAACTCCTATAAAGTATCAGGAAATAAAATTGAAATTGATAATTTGAAACCATTACCATATTCATAGCTTATTTAATTCTATTTTGATAAGCAAAAAGACTAAATTTGTTTCTACAAAATTAATGGAACCAAACAGAGGATTTCAAGCTGAAAAGGCCCTTCGAATTCTCTTTCTCAATGATATCAAAGTCTTGGTAGTTACCAGTTCAGCTCTGGTTGGTCATTAAAAGAAATGATTTGTTGCAATGTAGAATCCTTCTCATACTTATAATTTAATGCTGATACACAATTTTCAAAACAACCAGGTGACATATAGGATTCTTTAGTAGTAGTTGTAGTGTTTTATTAATGTCTCATTCTAAAATATTAATTAAAATAAAAGTGTGACATAACAAATCTCTTTTAAAAAGTATCTCTTACAGATTCTTTTGTAGTCAGTGCAGGTAATAGGGATGACTGTCAAGGCTGATTTTTAGTCAATGCACCCTAATACCAATCACTAACCTGAGCCTGCGCATGTGGCTACCTCAAGGCATCCAGTTTCCTACCTCAGCTGTGTACTCAGTTATGAAACTGATGACCTACGTGGATGTTGAGAATCCCGTTCCATCTCTATGTTCAGTGATTGCTTGAGCCTACAAGGCACCAGTGGTATAGAAACATGTTTGCCACTTAATCACTTAGCCCGTCAGCCCTCTCATTCAAAACACTCAACTTCCGTTGAGGAAGGTCTCTGCTATAATTTTTCAACTGTGAAGGTTGTATTAAGTTTACCATGAAATGTAGGATGAGCTTTTGTCTTTAATGAAGATAGAAGTAAATACAATTATGTGAAACTTGCAATCATGCCTAGTAAAAATGTTATATATGCTCTAATCCAACACACACACACATGCACGCACGCACTCACGCACACGTACATACAAATGCCACTGAAACCTTTAATAGTCCTGAAAAATAATACCTTGACCTTGGCAGCCACACTTGGCTGACATTTTTAATGTTTCTAATGTGTATAGTAACAATAAACACAGCAGATTCAGGATAATACAATTTTTTAAAATCTCGAATTACTTATTTTGATTTGAAGAAAGGGTATGGGCCTTGTAGAAATTTTTATACATTACTTGAATGTTTTGTGCATGCATAACTCAGAGTTTAGCTGCCACAATCTCTGACTGCAGAGATCACATGGGTAGCATGTGAATGGAAATAAACCCTGTAGGTAAAAGAAAGAGGAATTTGGATAGAGATCAAAGATTAACTTCATTCCGCTCTTTCCTTCCACTGTTTACTATCCCATCTAAATTTGGCATTTTATGGTACTTCTTTCATTCCCAGAGGAAAGAGTGAACTTAAACCAGATTTGGATCTCCTCTCTTTCTTTAATCCAGTGATTTAATTTGTTCAATAGTGACTTTAGATAATTGAATTCTCAATTACTAGAAATTGTTAGTAAAATTTCTGGCTTGATTTATTATATCTTTTAAAATTATCACTGTAGCCCTGGTTTGGGTTACAGAAAAAGCTATCCAGAATATTTAACAATAAGATTAACATAAATGTATCCTTACCTATTAGATTTTTACATAAATTTTCTAGAATGGTACTAATTACTATGTGCTATTAATCTTGACTTAGACAAAGAACATTTCTAAGCATTAGAGATCGAAATTTAGCATTACCTCTTTTCTGAATGTATATCATTCTTTTTATCATCAGGTAGTAAGATAGAGTTTAACATGGACAACCTCATGCCTAGGTGACCTGTGTAAAGGACTCTTATTGGCATTGTAAGGAGATTCATAGGAACTGAGAAACACTAAAATGCTTGGTAACAGTTTTAAACTAATTTTTAAATCCTTTTTAGAATGAATTTTTGTCAAGAATTTAAAAACATGGGATAATGTAAAGTGACTATTTTGACTTCCATCCAAACAGTAGTTAAGTGGTAAAAATCAATATTCAAATGCTTCAAAATATTGAGGAGATTAACTCAGCCTGTTTATGGTGAACCTCAATTGCTAGACCAGAATGGAGAATCTACGCAGCTATTTACCAAGTGGAATATCTGAATGCATTACTAGCATTAATGTATTATTTTGTTGTTCAAAATAGAAGCAACTGAATTTAGTTTCAGGTTCTCATTATCTGATGATTTTATAGGCTTTCATTAAGTTCTAACTACCAAACACATCCTGATAATTTATTTTCTCTTCAAACAAAAGACTATAATAATAAAATAATCATTGGTTGCCAGGGGTTGAAGGGCAGAGAAGAAGGATGAATAGATTAGATCACAGGAAGCTTTTAGGGAAGTAAACCATTCTGTCTGATAGTATAATGGTGAATACATGGCATTATGCATTTGTCAAAACCTATAGAATGTAAAACACGAAGAGTAAGCCTTAACTATACTTTAGTTAATAAGAATGCATCAGTACTGGCTTATCAGTCATAAGAAATGTAGTACAAGGGCTGGGCGCGGTGGCCCAAGCCTGTAATCCCAGCACTTTGGGAGGCCGAGGTGGGTGGATCACGAGGTCAAGAGATCGAGACCATCCTGGTCAACATGGTAAAACCCCGTCTATACTAAAAATACAAAAAATTAGCTGGGCATGGTGGCACGTGCCTGTAATCCCAGCTACTCAGGAGGCTGAGGCAGGAGAATTGCCTGAAC